TATTGGGTATCTAGACCTCTTGGGAAAACTTTTGTTCGTATCGGTCCCATAAAACTCCCTCTTTGCAAGAACCTCAATTCTAAACTATTTTATGTGATTAGCCTACTCAACATCGGCAGAATACACTATGTAACATACAGATTTCATTACGGTTCACAAATTTCATTTGAAATATTTCTTGTTGTGAGGAATATTTAACGACACACGATGAAAAATAATCTGCCTGTCTGTCTGCAGTAATTTTTCACCAGTGAATTAAGATTATTATGACGGAAAAAAGAAACTTGTCCAAAGTTCACGAAATATAAAAAATACTAAATAACATGATGTGTTAGTACGTATATATGCATTAATATGCAGTACAACTTTCCACGATTTGTAATAACATTCATATTTATTTAGTTATTCGGTAGTGACAAGTGAAAATCCATGTATTAACCTCGCTACCATTTAGACAAGGAAAACTGATTCCTTTTTATCCTGGTCGTGTTTACCTTTGTATAAAAATCTCCAGTACATCATTATCATCATCGTAATAACTTTTGTCATACTGCATGGAACTTTACGTTTAATATCGAATTGCCATAATTATGAAACTACGGTATTTTAATTATCCATATTTATGAATGACTGATTGTAAAGAAGCCCTATAATTCTGTGCTGATGTCGTGTTGATGGATGTTCAACCTTAACAAAAGAAGACACTGAATTCTCTTCTTCTGATTTGCGGTCCGACAATCCCTGCTGAGATTTCCAAACAATAAATCTGACCGGCTTCACGAGAATCAACCGACGGGAAAATCTTAGCTACTTTGTGAGAACAGCTGTGAGCAGGATGATATGTTTGTGCCTGACAGATTACAGGCGTCTGATTATTGAGAAGGTCCTTATTACAAGGACGTGACTGCGACCAATCACAGCTACAGGAGTCAGCAGCCACCTAGCGGCAGGCCCCAGCCCTCATGCTACTATCCGTGAAGTACAGAGTTTGACTCCTGACAACGCTTGATAATGACAGTAGCATTTTAATTATAACACAACTAACTAACATAGTCATAACCCGAACTTTCGATAACCCCAGTACTGAACACTATCCTCCACCTCCCATCCTCCTACTCCATCTCCCTAAGATCTATCTTAATGTTATCTCATACCTCTGTATTTTTTAATTTGATGGTTTCCAATAAACTTCCCTTCCAAAATTCTGTATACATTTTTGCTTCCTCATTGAAGCCAAATACCCTGCCCAATTTAACGTCATAGATTTCACCATCCTAACAAGATTAGCTCATCGGTACACAAGATTATTATTTTATATCCTGAACTGCACTTACGTCATCCTATTTAGGTCCCAAAACGTTCTTGACTACTTTGTTTACAAAAACATGCAATTTATATTTTCGCTTCAAAAGCAAGAGACCAGGTTTGACACCAGTACGGAACAATTAGAAAGACGATTATTGTCTTCATGTCTTGACCTTTATTCCTTTATGAAGTAGATGTGACGAAAACAGTTTTCGACCTGGTTAATGACAAGAACTTATGAAATCTGATTTTCTCCTAACTTCATCATAAACCTCACTTCTGTTTACTAGTGGCATACTTTGCTACTGATTTTTGTTCCATAACGTGTCCATATATTTCAATTAAACCCTTGTAGATATAACACCAAGTTTCAAATGTCAAGAGTGTCGCTATAATAGCTACCACAAAGACTTGTTACAACAACGTGGAGACAGCTCGAAAACTACTCCCGATGTCGACATTCTGCCATTGCACTAGCCATCCGAACTACGGTTCCACTGAAATTCATAAATACGTCTAGGAAGATTCTTGTGTAGCAGCTCAAAATAGGCCACGACCACTTTCTTTAACTTCCCTTCTAATTCGTATTCTCAATCAACATTTCATTTGGAATCACAGGAAAGAGGCTAAATTCACCTGCCTGGAATCAAACTCAGGCCCCTCGGCCTACAATCGATAACTGAAATATCCTAGCTGACCTTCTGTGTGCCGGTTACTATAGTGATTTCACTGTGAGACTCAGCGCTGCTGTTACTACAATACTTGGCTACCAGTGGACCCTGTATCAAATTTGGAGCATTATTACGAGATGCATGATATTATTTTAAATTGCGACTCAATTCGAGAGCACCCAATTACAATTACGTATGTAGCCGGTAGAAATCAAATTATACGATAGTCAGTCAAAAGAATAATAATAATAATAATAATAACAACAACAACAAAACTACGTATCCTTAGAGACTCTGGAAACTTACAGCAAAGCTAAAAAAAAATAGAAATGAAACTTTGGTTCCGGAGCCAAATTTTACGATATATTCCAGAAATTAATGTACGATATTACCTCCGATATCTCTGTAGCATGAACCTTGACGGAATTCCCCTGACAACAGATGTGTATACGGCCATCTGACAACGTTTTTTGGACTTCTTGTACATAGTAAAAGCCACTAGTTCGATAAAAATAACGTAGTGTCTTGCTAAATGGCTGCCCACATTTTTGAAACTTAGACCAGTTGAAATGAGATGTTATTCTCGCCGCATGAACTGTGTATCTAATTTACACGTTAAATGAAGGATGAGTTCGTTCAGTGTAACAGACAACCGTGGGAAAAATTAAACAGGGGTAGAAACTGTAGAGTTACTTATCGTTTGAACTCAAATAGTGAAACTGACATTACATCCTATCTCTTCTATGTTTTTAGATTTCTATTTGTTCTTTCCGCGAAGTACATGACATTAGTTCATACACGTTATTAAGATGTCTTCTCTGTCTGTATGTTGCAATGCAAAATAATTCGGCGGATTAAGATTTTATTCAATATTTACACATAACTGCTGAAAGTCATTCAGTTATTTAAACCTTGGTTAACATTAACAAACAGTATTAGACCCTAGCATTCAAAAGCGAATAAAATATTAGTACAAAATACAAATACAATAAATGATTGAAATTATCAGAATAGCAAAATAAAATCTTGGAAAATATTTGTGTTCTTCTGACGAACAGGTTCCCTCTCTTTCCTGGTCATTTAATTGCGTAAATATTTTTACCAATTTATTTTTGGGTTAAAACAGATTAAGCTAATCCCTTACCTCGATTCTCATTAGGGAAAAGAACTTCCCTCTTTCCCACCACGTCCAGACCCAGCCTCTCTTATCAGAGGATAACAGAGATTCATTCAGCAAGGACAAAACGGCCGAAGAGGTTATGTCACCTCTCACCTCCATCTAATGTCGAGATTAAAAATACGATGATCTTCACTTTCATTCGAATATTTGTTTTCACGGCGTGTTGCATAATTAAGCATAAAGAGTCAGTGATTGTGCTAACCTATAAATTGTTACGCCCGGAATTTTGAACTTTTAATTCATTCCAGTCCGTCTCAGACTTCTAACGTATCTGCATATTTAATTACATTAATTTGACAGTATGAAGACTTAAAAAAAACACTTTCGCTCTTTACGTCTTTAATAAACAGGAACCATGAATAAATTTAATACACGCAGAGTGATGCAAATGACTTTTCCACGTGCTGGACAAAGATGAAGTCGGGGGGACGGTCCTCCAGGGCTCCATAGGCTCCAGTCCAGACTCATTTCCTGGAAAACTTCTTTACGGACTTGGGGTCCAGTGTCACCGGTCCGTTAAACATGGAAATCGAATTGTTCCACTTTGAAAATCGCTATGGCAACCCATTTTCTAAGTATATAACAACGCCACTGTTGATGGATCCTCTTTTGTCATGTAATTGGTTGCTTTTTTGTCAGAAAGTTTTGACTCGTGTGGTTTTATTTGTTGTATATAGCTTGTTTCCTTGTTCCTTTGAGTTTGAAACGAGACCAAGTTCTGACAACAGAATAATTTATTTTCAGTAATTTAATGTCACGTCTTACCACATGCTGATATTCCTACAAACGTAATCTCTGCCAATGCATATGTTCTTTAAATAAAGTATGTTTCTGAGAATAAGATAAAAGATGTTCATTTATTAGGAAAAACCAATTAGCTACTAGACGTTGCGTTATTTTATTTACAGAACTCGAATTGTGAGCGTTTGATTTGAAATATTTGGAATGCTGTGGTTTATACATTCATACAAACAATGGAACGTGCTGGGATGTCATTTCCAGATTTCGAATCTCTTACCAGGTTCATCTTTAAAGCAAACGCTTGGCATTGTTAACACTGTTAAAAAAAAAGTCTATCTTGTGCGAAATGGCAACAATTCTTTAAATGTATAGATAACGCCATTGTTCAAGGGACATGTCGAAATGTAGCTCTACTGTGAATTTAATAAGCAGTATAGATCTAGTATAGAAATATAATTTCAAATGAATAATTGTATTCTAAATTTACAATTTTAATTCGATATGATTTCCTGGAAGCATATTTAAAAAAAATCCCCATCGCATTTCAAATTAAAATACTATGAAAGAACTTGGTGTACAGGCATGTTGTATTGTTTGTTGCAACCGAGTTAGATTTTGGGTAACAGCCTACATGGGGTATAAATCAAATGATTGTTACCCCTTACTTTGTTTAACGACAGTTTCTCAACTGCATGATTTATACAGTGTTAAAACATAATTAAGAAGTTGCAATAAATTGGTAGTGTGATATTTTAATGTATTTATCTGTAGGGACTCAGGAAAACTACAGAACACTTTAACTGGGTATAGGGAAAAGATTTCAACCTTATACCTCTTGAAGACGACCGTCTCCTGGGATGTTGCACTCTGTAGTCTGCAATAAATTTATCGACGTTTTAGAGGTACTTGCTACCTTTATCATCAGGGGATGAGTCATCATCGCCCTGATGATGGTAGCAGTACGTACCTCTGAAGCGGCTGTCGGTCTCTACCAGACTACACTGCGCGACATCCCAGGAGACAGTCGTCTTCAACATTGTAATTGTTGTTGTCGGTAGTTTCCTCAGGCTTGAAAAAAGTCAGTCGCCTTTGTTGGCTTTCAGGGGTGTGTACGAACGCCACGGCGCCGTCAGTGAGCAGTATCAACAGAATCCTGCGCAACAGGGCCGCTGAGCGCGCGGCGGCCGAGTTCGCACGAGCGGCTGGCTACGGGCTCTACCATCCTCACCCGTACGCCGCCTTCCCGTGGCACCCCGCTCACCTCTGGTCCGCGCCAGCTCTCGGCCTCGCACCGGGCAACTCGGCATCTAGTTCCGCGGCTGCTGCGGCCATGACGGCCGGGACATCGCCGGCATCCTCAGCATCCCCGTCGTCCATCGGGCACCAACACGAGGGATCCGGTATCTCGGCCTCAGACCTTATGGTACCACGACTCATCGGTCAGTGTCAAAGGCTCTTCAACTAACAAATCCTCCCAACAGTCACTCAGCTGGTCAACAAATTCCCCACAATTTAACGAACCCGAAGGTTTATTTAACATTTTCAGAAGTCCCCGCTACTTGCCTCTAACCTGAGCCATTTCCTCAAACAGCATCTGTTTAGGACCCACTGCAACATCACCCTATTTCGGGGTTTCTGACCAAAATTTAGTATCCGTTTCTCATATCGCTCATACGTGCTACGTGCCCTGTCAGTCTGATAACAATATTTTCTGTCACATCAACGTGGTTAAAACTTTTGATCTAGTCCAGATAATCGTATTCTTTGTTTTTTCGACAACTGTTCCCCAACTGTGTACATTAACATGGCGTAGACTGTTTCTTATTTTATTTGACGACTTTTTATCAACAGAAGCAATAAAATTCAAAGAAATTTTCAGTTACAATAACCTGTCAGTAGGCAAAAGGTCTGTCAACTGCGAATTTCGATGCAGAATTTACATACCAAACTAGTTCGATGATGGGATTTTATTACCATTTGATATAGCATGGGACGACCGACAATTTGGTGCGAAAATATTGCAATGCCAGTCGTTTACAGAAACTGTGACACATTTCTTGGTCGTAAATTTGCATAATTTATTCAGATCTTAGTAGTGTGTTACAACTTTATAGGCATATAGATACGACCCTCTTGCACCAAACTTTACAATTACGTTTGTTAACTATTACAAATTTATAAGAATTTTTATAAATTTTTATGGAGAATGTTTTAAACCCATTCCTGTAACAAACTTGTTTTAGGTATAAATGATGGCCGCTGAATGAAAGTAACATCTTCTCGTCTCATTCCTATGGTTACGTAAGAAATCTTACGATTCGCTGTCTAATTTCTAGGCGTTGAGTAAAACTTTGTATGTTATCAATGGCTTGGCGCTTAGGCGTAGGGGATATTACAACTTAGCGACACAGGCTGTGATAAAATTAGAGCTTTTGACGCGCGTTAGACGTCGTGAGTAATGGCACGTGTGTGGTTGCAGATGTCGACGGAAAGGACGACGCGGGTAGCTTAGACGGCTCGGACCAGCCCAAGTTTCGACGGAACCGGACAACATTTAGTCCAGACCAACTGGAGGAACTGGAGAAAGAGTTTGAGAAGAGCCACTACCCGTGTGTCAGCACCAGGGAACGCCTGGCGTCGAAGACCAGTCTCTCGGAGGCCAGAGTGCAGGTACATAGAGCATTCTGTTTTTCCTTAAAAAAACTCTTGCCCTTGTCATTTTGCTTAAATATTAGTCAATCACAAACATGTCTACACGTATACAGACTTGAGCTCTATTTAAAAAGCAAATTATTCTGTCCTGTATGTTTCTATGCTTCGACGCCGGCTTATAAATTAATTTAAATTATTAAAACGAAAAAGAAAAAACAATATTAAATGCTCAGAGATGATAATATCGTTTATTTTACAGAGGCAAAGACTACTCTGTAATGTATATTATTAATATCTGAACGTTCCCACTGGCTTGCTTAAAGGATTTCAGGAAACGTTTATGTTAACGGGTACCCTAATATAACGAACGCATGCCACAAATCGATTTATGCATTTAAGCTTCTATGGTTGCCTAACAGCCAACATAAATACTGATAATATTCAAACTTTTATCAACATGTAACCAATTGCGCCTAGCGAAACATAAATAAAACATAAAGTGTGACTGAAGACGGCAAATGTACACATGAAACAAAATAATGAATCATTGACGTGTAAGAACGAACCCCAATTTGGAGTACACATATTTATATATTTTCATGAAATTTTCCTTAACACTCACGAAGGTCTATTACAGACTAAAAATCTACTGTAGAAAGTTAATCGTATTACAGATATGACACACAGGCTTCATAATATATTATTTTGATTGTATGTTCTTAATTATTCACCACACGAAAAGATTTTTCAAACAAAGTGCGTGTATCTTGAAGACTTCGTTTGGCGTCTTTTCATTTTATTTTCCTACTAACAGCTTTTAGAAATGTTTACGTGTTTATGTTTACGTCTGAGATACACGTAATTTGATGTTTTGTTTTAAACCTATATTTTACCAATATCAAATCCGTTCTACAGCAATACTGTCGACAAAAAACACCTAATTTAATCTTAAACTCGTAGTCGAATATTATCTGAGATTAAACACGCTGATTGGCTGAAAGACGCGACAATTCCATTGCGGTTTAATTTCTATAACCGATTAAATTCACATCCTTTCAAATTTATTACTCATGTCCGTATTAGCGTTCGATCCCACATAACCGATTAGTTTAAACAGCGTTGTTAAATGCCGGTAACCTAAGGATTTGTCGATAATTTACAAGAAACCAAGTCTCGAAGACGGCTGTGGAAAGACGCAGACGTCAATGTATGGCTTACGTGATCACGTACAGCTTCCACGTTCATGACGATAAATTGCTTTACGCAGACAATGCGCAGGCAGCAAGTAGTTCCTCACAGAAACAAGTGATTGACTACTCTTGAAATGAATAGGTAGCGTTGCGCAAATAACCACCATTCTTTCCGTCACATCACTCAGTTCTGGTTGATCAGAGATTTATCTTAAGGATGTCCAGAATTCTGTTGCATGTGCATGGTTCAAGAAATAAGAGAGAAATGTTTGTACACACGTAACATTGAAGCTGCTATACCTTACCACATGCAGCTGCCATAGGTATTACTTGTTGAAACCTCAATTTTACTGAAGGTGTTAAATGACGAAGTGGATGTTCTGAGATGGAAGACTTACAGGGCTATTTGTAATAGATACAGTACTTAAGATTGGCTGCTGTTTAGTCCTATATTAAACTAACATCAACACGTTTAACCTCTAATTTAACCAGCTACTAAAGTATCAAATAGACTACTCCAACCCTGGCTTAACGCCAGACATTAAGGAATGATGCACATGAAACAGAATATTTCAAAAGATGACTACCTAAAAGCAATATTTTTTTAGAAAATGATAAACTGAGATAAAAACAAAACTTGTCCAAGAAAAACTTTTCCGTCTTCCTTGAGATTCGTAACCGCAAAATCATCAGATCTTTAAATGATGGATGCATTCTGAAGAATACTAGAACAGGACTGAGTCGAAACTTCTTTTCTATTAATAAGTATTAAATAAATATGAAGCAGTAGAATATTTTACGCCTAGAACGATATGCAAGTTGAAGTTCAGATCATAGTATTTTGGAATGAGACACCTTACAACCTAGGTTCTGGTTCAAACGATTCGAAAGAACATACATTATATAGCCCAAAGATGGAGGTAGCAGGTTTCTACGATATATTTTAACTACTGGCAAGAGTAAACCTGTGAGCGGAAATTATATGGAAAACAAAACTTGTCCAAGAAAAACTTTTCCGTCTTCCTTGAGATTCGTAACCGCAAAATCATCAGATCTTTAAATGATGGATGCATTCTGAAGAATTCGTACCGGTTTACACTGGAGTACGCTCTACATTCGATTATCCTGACTCAACCACGCGCCTGCCTTGGCAAAACAGCGTGTCTTTGCGCAAAGCTAGAAAATAATGTGTTTTCACCGAAGTTTTATCATTTATTAGAGATTTCTGAAAATGTTGCATTATAAAAAAAAAGAAACAAAACACTAATAATATCATCAGTTCTTCCGAAACATACAAATCGATTTATATTAAAAAGACAAATAACTGGTGTAGCATGGACAGTTATCCCTTTTTTGTAAACAAAATACACGTATTTTAGGAAGCCGTACGCTTACATTTAGCTTAAAAAAGCAGACTTAATTTCCTTCTGTAAACGTCTTCTTAAAAGCTTTTTAGAAAAGCATCGAAAATGATTAAAGATAAAGTTCTAATTGTAAAACGCGAATTTTACATGCGAAACGTAAAACGAAAGTAGCATGGCATTTTCGGTCCCGTATTTTCTTCCCTTTAGAACTTTGGGTACTTGTGAGTAGAATGTCCAAACAGGATCGGTGTTATAGTTCTCTATTTCAAATCAAATGATAATCACTTAAATACTTATATTCTGTCCCTATAATACATACACAGATATATATTATTATGTCTCAATAAAAATATACAAAATTTACAAATGTTTTATTCTTCAGTACAGTCTGGCGAAAAAAATTAAAACACTGACGTACTTTTAATTCGTTACTTCAGCTCCAAAGTGGAGATGCAATTCGTTTCAAAATAACGACAACAGGGAGCAATAACACCGACTCCAATATGTCACTTAATGTCTTGTTATATTAGAAAAAGTGAACAAATAACTAAAACAGGGTTGTTACACTTTCCCATTGACTCCCAGGTTTGGTTTTCCAACAGACGTGCAAAATGGAGACGTCATCAGCGCATGAATCTCCTAAAACGCTCTTCACCTCCCCCGCAACCCTCGCAACAACAAACAACCCCACCTCGACCCTCTGCACCATACGGAGACCACAGTATCACCACCAGCACCACTTCCAACATCACCTGCACAACCACCACTCCTGGCTCTCCGGGGGCCGCTTCCATCCCTGGCTCTCCACAACCCTCCACCCTTTGCAACAATACTACTCTAGTACGTCACCATCATCATCTGCATTCAGCAGCCTCCGGAGTGGGGCTGAGTCAGACGACGCAGCTTCTGCTACAGATGGGCGGCGAAAATAGCGCGTTCAAATCTCTGCCTAACCACCGGATGATGCTGGCCGCCTCGACGGCTCACTCTGCTGCATACGGAGAGTGTGAGGGGTCAGGCACGTTTAAGAAGGGGCAAAGGTCATAGAACTCAACACGAATGATCGAGAGAGAGTACGAGTTTGGGCCTGTACTAGAAAAACTCCCCATGACTTTAGGTGGGTACGACGGCAGTGAACTTGCCCGCTGCTCTGTCATCGGGAACGGAAAGGCGTTCACGACTGCTCTGCAGTGCATACATTTACTGCTGACTGTCATCTGACGATGGTTTTCACGGGTGAATTTTGTCATATTACTTCGAATAATATCAAATTTTCACATTGTTAACGTAACTGAACAGTATGTTTACATTAAATTGTATGTTGTATTCTTACGATCTTCCTACTGTGGAAAATTACACTACAATTCGTCACATCATCCAACAAGAGCACACAAGAACGCACACACATCTGACTACCCTCCGGAGCAAATAATGAAGCTCACAAGGTACTCTTGTACTTAATGAAGAATTTAAAAAAAAAATGCAATTAATTTGGAAAATATTTATATGATTTTCAGTCGGGAGTGACTGGCGTAATGTTACATCCAAATTTTCTTTCTTATAGCAAAGAACAAAGACAGGTTGACACATGTACATATAATAAAATAAATGTAATGACGCAATTGTAAATGAAGGATGTTAAATGGCTTTGATAATAATACTAAAGTTTCCTAGGCCTATTTGTTAATAAATTAATTGTGTTTGATACTTTTAAACTTAGGCTGCAGAAGGGAATGCAGTTTGACTTGGCACTCATAAACTATTATCAATAAAATTTGTTCGAATGAACGGAATTAAACGAGTCCTTAATACTCGATTTAGAGTTGGCGTAAATTGCACGCAGAGGTTGTTTATTCAAAGTTGTATAACATTCTGTTCAACTTTTAAAATAACAATTTCGCTTCAAGTATCCCACGCAAATTTTAAATTTCTTTAGGAATACGAAGAGATGTTTCAGAAACCAGTCACATCGCTTTAAACAAATGAATACTTGTAGAATTTTGTGAAGAAAAGCCCAGATGTGTAAACACAATTGAAGTAGATGCAATTAAAATAAAATTGTGTATATATGTGTACGTTTTAGTAAGCGCAAAATCGAGAGCGTTAATAAACTCTGGAACTTCTGGTATGGATTCTTTGAAAATAACAAGATTACAAGAAATATAAACAGAGAAGTCAATATTCTGCTCTTTGTTACAACGTCACGCCATCACACAATGTTCCTGTAAAACTGAGGTGTGATTATTTAAAATAATACAGT